ACACGATGAGATGTCCACACACAAAACAATGATGATGGCAGTGTTTATGGATAATGTTTATGGATATTGAGCCTTTGTCACCGGTTGTCAGTACTGTAGCATGCTGTGATAATGTGGAGGGGGTGTAGTTCTAACGTGGTTGTGTTTGTAATGCAGTCGTGGCCACGTGGTTGCATTGGTTGTGATTTTATTGTGGCTTTCAGTTCTGGTTGGAAAATAGTTGTAAGCTGGCCTAATACTTATACACGCGGTGGTGCTATTGGTGTTGATGTGTCATTTTTGTTGATGTTCTTGTCATATTTTTTTGATATGTAATTGTTGATCATCAATCATCATCATCACGATCTACAGGCAGATTGCCCGTAAGTGTCCACTGCACATTTCGTCATTTATTTCCGATTTCCTTCGACTCGTGCCAATATGCTCATGTTAGTGCACATCTTGCTGGCACCAATTTCCAATGTCTTAAGTCAAGCCATTCTTCAGTTTTCAGTTTCATTTATTGGGATTTATCCTGTGTGCCATTCGGCTCTTGATTTGGGTGCAACCGCAACAAACAATAAAATTACAAGATACACCTAAAATTCATTGTACACAAATCTAAACATCACATACGTAAACAATACAATCCTACAGAAAAAGCACCACCCGCCCATGCTGCGTACAAAAAGTGCAAAAAATTCCATTTCGATGTTTGATCCCAATAACAATCATAATACAATACAGATGAAAATTTCAAGTAGAAATCTATACTAAATAAAAAAAATCGGGCCAAACCAAGCCCCTCTAAAACTTACTAAAACAATGCTGTATAAACAACGTAACAGTTTTCCCAACAAATGTGATTAAAAGTTTACAATAGCGACACACACAACCCACATCACTAAACCTTAAATTTTTCCGAATGACACACTTTCAATTTCCCTGTTTCCCATCGTACATATTTGTTCAAATAGTGCCAGTTTTCTTCTCATCACTGCCTGCATCATCAGGTCTGCTTCTGTGTGCAACCCTTTTCTCACATCTGCTTTTGTCCAACGAGTCCAATCACATACCAAAGTTTACTAATCGTTGGTGCGTTTACTTGGTTATAGAAAAGATTGCACAAACTAATTTTTGATGGATAGCTCAATCGTGTTAAGAGCAGAGAGTCAGGCAAGGTAATATAGCAGTATGGAGTACAGTTCGAACGCTTCACTTATGGTTACGTGAAACTCGTGCTGAATTTTTATATTTCCTGCTTTTGCAAACGTAGCATTGGACAGATAACAGACAGTTGTTACTATCTTAACCTTGTTCAACACACAAAAGATGACCTCTGTTCGTCTGAAAACCCTTGCTTGAACCCACCCACACACGTGTGACTCAGCCATACTCACTCATGTGGTTCAGTCTCAAAGAATGTTTTTCTTGGTCTCAGTCTCATAATCCTCTTTTGTAGGCACTGATTAACTCGGCGTGTAAAAGATGTAGCCGTGCCTTCGATTTTATATCAATTCTTCTCGCTCACAGTACACGTGTAGAAACAACGTGTGATATGCCTATGCATGTAATGACATTACACTAGATGACTAGACTGTTACTGCAGTATCTTCACACACTCACTTCCTCCTGACTGGTTTCAAATACAGAAGTGGTATACTGTTAGAGGAAATGTAGGCTTTGGACAATACTGAAACATGCTCAAGCAAACACTTAAAAATGCTTGCTCATGGTGCATCTGATACATACTCTTAGTTCTTTCGGTAAAGTCACGTAGGTAAAAAATGAAATTAAAATGAATAAAAAATAAAAAAAATCACGACGTTTCGGAGGCAACACAAGCTTCCGCCTCCGAAACGTCGTGATTTTATTGTTTTTATTTTTTATTAATTTTAATTTCATTTTTTACCTACGTGACTTTACCGAAAGAACTAAAAGTATGAATCCTTGCAGTCACAAAAGCTTCAAATCTAGAAGCATCTGATACATTTGGTATATTCTGTTGTGTTGTATGTTCGTACAGCGCAGTAGGACGTAGAAACCACAACATGAACCACGTGCCTTGCCTGTCCACGTGTCTACAGCACTGTAGTGGTAACTCGTTACGCGAGTTTTAGTTGTGGGTTATGATCCACATACCCAGAGCTTTGGTTGTTAGTAAATAACAATCACTTTTGGGACTTTATTCGAGGGTATCTGTGTCTACTCCTCCTCATTAACACTGCATGTAGATGTAAATCAAGAAAGCCTCACTAGTATAGCCAGTTGCTTTTCCAGCATGGTTTTAAAGAGATACATTAGTTAGTAGTTATATTTATAGTTGGCCCAAGAGAACCCCCTCTGTGGAATTCATCCGAACGTTCCAAGTGGTGAAGGATACTTTACACCACCCACATGGTAGGGATCTGCCGATCAGCCGACTGAAAGAACGTGACTTTTGAGTGGGGTTTTTTTTTATCACATCATTGTGCTTCGATTTAATGCATTTGTGTTGTCTGAACGTGGCATTCGTTGACAGGATAGGTGCACAGCAGCGAGTGGTGATACGTGGAATGAAGTTTTACGAGTTAAGCGGCATACACGCGCAAAACTAAATCCATGTCTCTTGGACATGTGCGTATGCTCGGACACTTTGTGGAATTGTCTTCAAACAGAACAAAAAATGCCCCCGCTGTGTTTTTGTTGGAGAAGGCACGGTTATTGTATTGCAGGTAGGTTTGTTGAATTTGCTCGAAGATTACGATTTTTTTTGTTACAAATGGAAAGAAATGCACCAGAGCTGTTTGTGTAATGACAACAAAAATGGGTTTTAATGCAAGGTGAAGGAAAGCGAAGCACCTGGGTCCGGTTTAGATGTCACTCGCCATCCGTGGCCAGGAATATAACTCAGGAGGGCCAGGTTCAGTGTCGTGCGGTAACCGCTTGGAGCTAATGCTCAACTACAGCTTGCATGGAATTTTCTTGAATCGCAAATACAATAATCAAATTGCCCGCTATGCTCCTGGTAACATCAGATTTATCGCTCATTGTTCAAGACTTAAGACTAATTTTTTCACGTGATTATGGCTAAAATGTGTGTTTTTATGGTTTATGATTCCTGTGAAGTGCCTGGAGATGTGGTTGCATTTAAGAGGCTAAATTAATGTTCATTGTTCTATATCAAGGCACGATGCATGTATCATGAGTCCATATTAATCGATGCATTAATTGATGCATTGTTACACTTCTAATGAACAGTCACGGGTGCTGCCATAAGGGGACTGCTAACTGATAATACATTAATTGTTGAGTTTTATAGGAGTGCTTGTCTCAATAGATTGGATGTTAAGCTGTCAAGTAAACTTTTCTTTTTACAATGCACGCCTAATAGGGCTTATTGATTGATCTAGTGTACAATGCTTACCGCATTGTTTGCTGTTCAAATATGCTTCAAAAAATGATCAGGTTCTTTAGATTTTTAAACGGGTTGTTACTCGCTAACTACTCATAGAAAACTATTAATATGCCAATTTACAACAAATAAACGCTCGTAAAACATTTGTTCGACATTTATAATCAAGGCCCACATCGTGTCAAAAGTGCAGCCTCAAATTCATATCCACTCCGTGACTCTCTCAGGCCTCTGTACGTGCTATGAAGCATTGAATGTGAAATTAGGAAGGAAATGCATGAAATCTGGCTTTATTTTTAAGGACGCAATTCTATTGATTTTCAGTCCCCTAACCCACACCACCCAACCACTTCACCAACTCCATGAAGCGAATAGTGTTGGAAGGCTTACAGTGGATTGACAGGACTTTCTACAATTATTATTAAGAATAATTGATATGCGTATTTTATGTTTATTCTTCCCTTTTTAGTTTTTGGTTCTTTCGGTAGTCACCTACGTGACTTTACCGAAAGAACCAAAGAGTATGGATCCTTGCAGTCAAGAAAACTTCAAATCTAGAATTAACATGGCTGTATTGAGGCAAATCGTAAAAGAGAATGAAGCTTTGATAAATATTGAAAGAATGATTCAGTAATATCCACAGATATGGTTGACTTGATTCTGTCCAAAGTGACTTGACAAAATAGATACGGTAAAGTGCCCTGAACAGGGTCCTTTGTTCGACTTTGAAGACAGAAAAATGTAAGACCTGTGTGCAGCAAATGACGTAAATGATCTAAGCCAGTGGCAAACACTAAGGCTAGGGCTGCAATAGCTTGCTGCCCTGTTTGTGTCGGTCAGCCTGTAGTCTTTTACTTAGAATCTGCATGCACATTTTTGTGGTTGTGGTCGTTTTACCACATTTTTATTCGTATAATCAGCTCAGAGCCAATTTAGTTGTTTTTATTTTATTTTTATTTTCACCTACGTGACTTTACCGAAAAAACCAAAGATTACAGCCATGTTAGTATAGGGATAAAGTGTCCAAAAAAATTCCCAAGTGCTTAGACTAGCCTGTGAACACACATTTTGAAGCAAGTAAGATCTTACCATTGTATTAATGTTCACAGGTTTTGTTTACATGAACATTTCTAAAGTAGCTTTGACATAAAAATCAAGGTACATAGTAAACATCTTGAATATTCAAAGGATTCTGTAATGCTGTCCAACATTCTTTTGTCTTTTGAAGTGGTATCTATCAGGGAAAAACATCTTTGTCTATTTACAAGGTGAACTCTTGTGCGTGTTGGTGTCTCCAGGGTTTGGGCAACACTTTGATCAATTTGTCCAGTTTTAAACAGGGCATGTCCCTAATAGCAACACAACTTTATAATACACTTTGGTAAATATTGGATTATCTTTGAGAGTTATCATGCCCCCTTGTTATGTTCAGACACAGAGAGCCAGTGCATACACACTTACAACTTTATTCGGAAGCCATTCTTCTTCTTTCGTATGGCTGATGTAGATGCTGAGTAACAACCACAATTTCGCATTCAGGTGGTGGAGCCAAGGCACCATTCATGAGCATTTCAATAAAATGTCTCCATACCCAAACAAGCATGGGTGTGGGATCAATTCCACCTACCCATGGCAGAGGCCAGTCTCACTGTAGGATGACCGCTGATCGCCTCTCTGCTTCCACCCTCCACAAACTTCAACTCATCCAGAACACAGTTGGCCGATCCCTCGTTACCAACCCAACCTGCGTTCCACGATCGCCAGCCCCAGTCTCGTCCAGCTTCACTGGCTCCCATCAATACCTAAAGTGGTCGACTACAAGATCCTTGTCCTAGTTTACAAACTCAACTTTTTGTTTATATATATACCAGGTGAGGCCCACTGAGCTGTATAGCTCTTTTTCAGAAAAGACCTGACCGCAAATGATTGCTCAGTGACGTGGCTTATGTGGACATTTCTCCCAGCCAATTTACTCTGAACACACGTTTCTAAATGTGGAGAGAAAACCCGGAGGTTCCGGAGGAAAAATCCACGCGAGCACAGAGAGAGAGAGAACACGCACACTTCAAATATACAGGCGTCAGGGTTGGGATCAAACCCACGACCTCCTGCATACCAGGCGAGGTAGTTAACATCTCTCGCCACCGCAGGCTTGCCCTCCCGCTCTCCCTTACCCGAGTGATTTACTCCAACCGTACAAACCCGCTCGTCCTCCTCACTGGCCGACTGGCCACCTCCGCTGCGCCTCTTGGCCGCTCCGGGCGACTTTTGGTGGCCGCTCGTTCAGTCACTCCACCCCTCATAGCCAGGAAGTCAACTCTCCCCCCCCACCTGCTGCCACTCATCTTCACTTCTCCTAAATTCCCACCTTTGTGGAGGCTGTACTGGACAAGCCTTTGCCCCCCCACCTCCTTCTGCTCGTCCGTTTCCCCCCTCGTTTTATCTTTATTCAGTGTTGCCCTGATGCACCTTGCCGTGAAGGATTGGGAATTCTCATCTGACACTCGAACGAATTTAGTTGTCGGTGGTTGCTGTCGTTCATTGCGGGGAGGTTTCTCGCAGCCGTATTTCATCCCGGGGTGAGCGTCGGAAAAAGGCCGTGTGAGGTGGGTGTGGCGGAATGGAAGAGAGGGGACCTACACCTCCCTGGTAAGCTACAAAGTCACTCAATGAAACATTGACTTGACCGCACTTTTCCACCTTCCCCAGTCGTCCCTTTCCTCCTGCTCGGCGGCAAATTCGTTCTACTTACAATTGTCTCATGCTTTCGAGACGTTTGCTCACGGCAAAAGCTGATTGGCAGAGTTAACACTCAACCTTGTGACCTTCATGATTGCGGTTTTAAGGGCGCCGACCTCGTGTTCCAGCCGGCGGTTTTGAGGAACGATAGCGTAGTTTATAGTTATGCATTGAGCTGGAGCGGTGGCACAGTGGTTAGCGCGTTGCACTATGAACCCAGTGATCTGAGTTTGATTTGCCAGCCACGACTAACGTCGGTATCTGATTTTGGCCTGGATCACCCCCCCCCCCCCCCCCCGCAGGCAGTTTACCAACCCACATTGATAAGCGTGGTGAAGCATGGTCTAACAATCCCCATGACACACGGCATTGGGAGGCCTTAATCCGGCAATGGATTGTATTGTGTGTATGTTGAAGTTCTTTCCGATTGACAAAAGGGCTGAAAATTGTTACTTTTTTTTTGCAGGACTGTAACTTACAATACTGCATTGGCGTTCTGTTCCTGCAACTTTCAGGGATCCCTGTGGCTTGAGTGTTGTGTCCATAACCATTAGTCTCATGACATACACAGTGCGTATCTGGACATGGCTCACTGATGAGTCCTAATAACAGAGCAGAGGCCTCCATGTCTGCCCATGGCTGCAGGCGACACGGCACCATTCTCTTAGGCATACCAGCCAGTAAGAAGGCAGGATTTGCGATCAAGTGTGACACACTCTTTGTTTTTTGTTTAATAATTACAGCAATCTTGTTTTACCAAGTCTAGGTGCTTAAGCTTCACTTAAACCACGCCCCAGCACCTTTGCCCACTCATCTTGATATTTGCATAAGTTCTAACCGTCTGGGAACTTTTACCATACCTTGCCCAATAACAAACAACATAAACTTTATTGTAATCGTCTTATTTCTATGAGCACAGTAGTTTCGCTTACCTGCCCTGCGTTAAAGAAAGTCCTCGTAAACGCCCCCGGTCGGGCGTGTTGTTGTTTTAAAGCCACATTGCGTCACCCGACCTCGGGTGCGAATGAGTCAAACGGGTGATGTATCATCATGTCTGGCAAAAACACAAAACACTTTTGTAGTTTTTTCCACCCACCCACCCACCACCATAAAACTCAGTGTCACCGATTGTACTATTTATTTGACATGTTTGCTATTGCCCTACAGCAGCGAGCGGTACCCAACCTGTGATTCGTGAGGCTGTAGGATATGGTCCTCTTGCAGATACTATGATTTGGAGTTTTCATTTGGAAAGTACAGTGTGTCCCTTGGTGCTTGGTGAAAATTCAAATGGAGGGTTGACTTTTGGTCCGCGGGTCCAGAAAATTTAACACGTAGTAGGCTTTTGCGACAAATATTATTCATAATAGAGGATTTGGGGTTTGATAGCGTGAATATAAATGTTTCGTTACACCCGCCACCACCCGACACAGCCAATTAGTAAGGTTTGTCACGTAAACAAAACGTGCCAATTCGTTACTAGTTCAGCACACGCGTGCGATGTTATAGTCCATTTATTTGTAAATGTTGTGGGTTTACTCTCCAACACACCGGTGTGCTCTACAAGTAACGAATTGGCATGTTCAATTTACGTGACAGACCTTACTAATTGGCTGTGTCGGGTGATGGCTGGTTTAACGACACATTTACAGGATCTAACAAAAAAAAACTCCTGGGTCCAGAAAAGTTGGTGACCGCTGCCATGTAGTGTTGTTATCAGCATTCGTATTAATGACGACATTTACATCGTTAATTCAGATGCTGATAATGCCAAATATCCGCAGAGACGTGCAAGACTGCAAGGGAGTTAATACGTTTTCTTGCCAACATCAGCCATGACATTAACAATGTACCTCGCCACTGATTCAAGTCCTTATCCACCTTGTGGAATTGCGCAGTCGCCATCCTAGAATCCCACCCAGATCCGGAAGGACGCTGGCAAACAGTGGCACAATCTAGATTTGAAGTTTTCGTGACTGCAGGGATCCATACTCCTTGGTTCTTTCGGTAAAGTCACGTAGGTATAAAAATAAAATCAATTTAATCACGACGTTTTTGGCGCAACAGCGTGGACTGCCAGAATTAACACCTCATTTGAGACCCACACAGCACACCTCCTGGCATTGACATTCCTTGAAGACACCTGTGTAACCATCAACCCCATCAGAACATCAACGGACCCCCGTCATGAATGTAAAATTAAAGACAAGCCTCAGTGCGATTGTGTGGCCATGCAACCGAAACTATGGGCCACGTAGTAAACCGATAGAGACACAAAGAGATACATAGGCACTCGTGGAGATACGTAGATATACGTTAAAGACAAGCTACAGTGCGACTGTGGCCATGCAACCCAAACTGTGGACCACATGGTGAACTCGTAGAGATACATTGAGCTGCAATGCAGCACAAACTATGGCCCATATAGTACACCACTGTAGTCTGCACTCCTTCAATGGAAGAACAGCAAAATCACACAGATTCTCTCCTGAAACCCGCTTGTGGCGAGCAGACTTCAACATTGGCATTTAACTCCGAAACATATTGCCACATGCAAGAATAGAATAATAGAATTATCAGCATATAAGGTTTCGCATTTGTCATTTTTGGTCGTGATCAGTCCACTGCTCCTTGCCATTCCCCTCACTCGTGATCCTGCGATGTTGTAGCTTAGTCTATTTATTTGTAATTTTTGTGTGAAGTGTGTGCGTCGGTACACTAATCGCTTAAGAACCCAAACTAGTGCAAGAATGAACAATACGTAACACACCTGCAGCAAAAACAATTTCTCCCCTTCACAACATTTAACAATTGAGTACTTTACCCAATTGTTAACCGTTGTGGATTACCCTCCAACAAACCGGTGTGCTGAATCGGCAATAAAGTGGCACTTTTGATCACGCTACAGCTGATTTTTTTAAACGGCCACGTCGGGTGGAGCAGGGTGTACGACACGCACAACCTGACCCAAAAATCAATTCATTAATCCCAACCGTTGGTCGCGATAAGCCTACACGCGACATCACATGACGACGATCGCTAACACCGCTCTATTCCCGCCACGCAGGTCATGGCTGTCAACACCACAGCCCCCACCGACCAGGTGTCCCCGTGCCTGCACCTCTCCGTGTACCACCCGGACAACGCGGTCGGCAACATCTTCCGCCACCTGCCCCAGCAGGAGCGCAGGGACTACCCTTCCCACACGGTGCTCACCGTGGGCCGCCTCGACACGTGCCTGCTGCGTCTGCACTACCAGCGGGCGTCGCGCATGCAGCTCCAATTCGAGGCGGTGCGGCGGCGGCGGCAGCAGCCCACGTGGCAGCAGCAGGAGCAGCAGCAGCAGCAGGCGGGCTGCTCGGAGCTCGACGTGGAGCTGTCCTTCGAGGTGAAGAACCTGAGCAAGACCATGGAGCTGCGGGTCAACGAGCAGCGCCTGGGCCACCTTGAGCGCGTCGCTCTGCCGCCCAGAAGCCTGCTCATCTTCGGGAACTTCCAGCTGGGGTGCACGGTGGAGGCCGGCGAGTCCGTGGACTCGTTCGAGGTGCTGTGCGAGGTGGCCACCGTGCCCCTGCGGCAGGAGACCGGCGCGGACGATTCGCATGTCTGCGCTCCGATGATGGAGACCGGTGGCGGCGGTAATGGTGGTGGCGACGACGGCAACGGTGGTGGTGGCGGCGATGGTGTTGCACTTGCTAGCCCTCGTGGCTTGAGCAGTGGCATCGGTGTGAGTGTTGCCAGCAGTGATGATAGTGGTAGTTATAGTCGTGGTGGTCGTGGTGATAGCGGTGGTGCTTGCGGCAGAGAAGAGGAGCGCGTTGGTCAGAAAGTAGAAGATTGTCGTGCGTCAGTGGCTTCAATCGCCGTCAATCGCTGCAGGATGCCGACTGAGAATTAAGAAAATGATTTTTCCAGGTGCTAAGTGATGATTTAGTGGTGATTATGGACATTACAACGGTAACGTCAAGTGGACACTTTGCCAATACGTGTATGTGTGTGAGCGCACTGCAGTGGCTTGCACGTTGGGCTACAAACACCCACAACCTCGATTCAGTTCCTGACAATGAGAGCACGGCACTGGTGTAAATGGATAGCGGAACCACGTCTGGCCCACCCCTAGGCTCCGATTAGCACGGTTGGCCACGTACGGTGCGAAGGAACTTCAACATACACACATACAAAACACCGTGTTGATGTTAGTTGTAGTAAGTGCTGAGGAACTGCAACCTATGATGGGCTCAGCTCAGTCAACAATGACTGCACCAAAAAAAACCATCACGTTGACTTTGCCTTGTCACTTCATTCTGGCTTTTTTTTTCAGTATTGAGACTTGAAATAAATTATTGGTTTTTTTATTGATATGGAGTAGACACTTTGCCAGGGATGTGCCCGCTATGTAGATCAATAATACAACCTTTTGAAGTATTCCCAAAAGTAGTTCGATCTACCAGGAACTCTTCTGATTTTTTTTTTAAACCCATTCATCCAAAACACTGGGGTTTGAAGGAAAAAATATATAATAGGCGACGTTTCGAGAGATAGCCCTTGTTCATGGCACGTACAACTGTGCAGTGACAAAGGTCCATCGCCCGAAACGTTGTTCCCTTAAGGCAGTGCTATTGACAAACGTGTTGAGTTTTTTTAATGTTAATTGTGCTCTTGCACTACTGCCAATGCAGAAACAGCATTGCCAAGTCACAAAGCACCACGGTGGTGAGATGTTAACTACCTTGCCTGGTATACAGGAGGTTATGGGATCGATACCTACCCTGACGCCTGCTGTATATTTGGAATTTGCATGTCTCTTTCCCCGTGGCCACGTGGATTTTTCTCCAGGTCCTACGGTTTTTCCCTCCACATTTATAATCAACGTGCGTTTGGAGTATTTGGCTGATATAAATGTCCACGTGGTGATAAGCCACTTCGTTGTTCTATCATTTTGTGGCCAGGTCGCTTATGAAATAGAGCTGTATAGCTCGGTGAACCTTACCTTGTAAAATAAAACATTGTTTAGTTTACATGTTTGCTGTTGACACGGTCATGCTCTGTTCGCTGCACATTCCAAATGGAAATTTGTGTTTGTGACACGATGTTGATGGCACACTTTGTATACTTGGGCCAACACGTTTTCCCTCTACACAATCGCACGACTTGATAATATTGCTTCGTAAAAAAAAAATTAAGCAACAAATGTTTTCACCCGACTTGCGCTGTGAACGTCCCATTGGAAATGTTTTTTTAAGTCGGCAGGCTTCTGCCAAATTCGGTGGACTTGGCAAATGATGAAATTTTTATATAATTAGGGAAAAATCGTAAAAATGTGTGCCTTTGTTCGTAATATTTACGGTTTATTTCTTACGCACAAATGCATGACTGGTGCAGCGTCTTGACGTACAGTTTTATTTTGTCTTGTGAAAATGGTTTTCAACCAGAGCTTTGAAGCGACAGAATTTAATCTCAAATTGTGATGGCGCTCTCCTTATGTTAAATGTCGAATTATGTATATTATTGTGTAGAAATAAGTTGTTTTGATGAAGTGGTTTGTCTCAATGCTTGGAAAAGGCAGGGAAGTATTATTTTTGAGGAAATGATTTGTGCTAAGACCGTAGCAGTGTGTGGTTGGTTCTTTGAAATACTCCAGACGTTTCATTGTAAACATCTTGATTAAGTTATGAAAGCGCACAATGTTTGTATGTGTGTATGTGCGCTGCTTAAATGTATGGTCATCCACAAATCAAATTTATATTATACACGGAAGGCACAAGGTCTACAAAGGATTGTAATGTAAAATGCATGTGCTTCTTCCCATCCATTAAGCAACGCTGCGTTTCATCTTTCAGACCATACAAGACCACTTGGGAATCCCACGATATACCATGCCAGTTTTATAACTTATATTGCTATGAATTTCAAAGACGTGCTGTGACTCGATAGTCCGGAGGCCATTGTGCTCAGCCAGCAAGTGCTGAGATCTTGGCTTCGATTCCAGGGTTTGACCGCGTGCGATTGAACCAGGTGCTCAAGTGTAACGAGTTGATGGTCTCAGCCTGGTCAATAATGACCTCACGCAAATGAAAAAACCATGTAACATTCATTTGTCCGTGAAATTTGGCAAAATGTCCAGGCTCTGGGAATTAGGAATGTCAGTTTTGAGTTTTGTGGTATGAACATTAATGTCGTTTAGAAGAGTGGGTGGGAAAAGTGCTGCACCCTATTGTGTGGACTCGAGTCACTTGGAGGGAATTTAGTTGCAAGCCCTCTGATGTCTCTGCTTCCACAGTTGGGATGAACACCAGTATATAATGTGAAGTAATAATATGGTGGTATTAGTTAACCTGTGCTGCCAAGTCGGTACTGAACCCAACGAAAAAAATAATTATCTCCGAGGTCAATCGAGCATTTGGGTGTAGACACGCTGCTGCTGAGAACTCTGCGCGAGTGATGGGGATTCCACATTCTCATGACGTGCATAAATCGCTTCGTAGGGACAACTAATGTTGACATCCCACAAAGCGGCACACATTTAACAACCTCGATGACGTGGCCGAGCTGAAGCTCGTCTGCAGCTTCTTTTAGAAGTTCGCGGTTCGAGTCCAGTGGCTTTTCTGGTTAATACTAAGGGTGTATTAAACTTCGCAGTGAATGATAAAGACACTTTGATGTTGTTGATAAGGATACTCGCAAATTACTTAATTCGGAAAACAATTTTAACTTTTTTTTTTTAGGCAAGTGGCGCATTCACCTTGTGCTACACAGAGGCAGCTTCCAATGGCGGGGGGGGTCCCCTTGGCTCGACTGCAACAGGGAATTTGAATGGTCGAGCTGAGATGCTCTGAAATGTGAAGGCCTTGAAGCGAGCGCCCTTCGAGTGTAAATCCTTATGCCCAACCCTGGACTGGGATGGAAAGCTGCAACATTTTTTTATTGAGTTGAGCCACTCCAGCGACAGAGCCACCTGGCCAGATTTAGACTTGGCTGCTCGGGGAATAATTATACACTTAATTGGAAACTACTTTACTATAGGAAGCTGTAGCTAATTACGCAAATTAGTGATTTCAATTCGCTTGCCAGAAGAGCTAATTATGCAAACCAGGCAACGGGGATCATTGCAGCATTGTTCATTAAACTAACAACGGTTTGCCCTGGAGCTCATTGGCAGAATTTCTCAACAGTTTTTTCCAGAAGTGAAAAACATTTAGATAAATGTACTTTTTTTATGCATTTCCCCCCCCCCCCCCCCCCCCCCCACATTTGAATTGTGCTATTGGCGACTTGTCCATTCTGAGCTAGCACATTACGGAGTGTTAGAAAAGGGGGCCTTTGGAAAGAGATATTATTTAGCTACTTCTGAAATCTATTTATCGAGTGCCACCTCTACAGAAAATTATGCATCCTATACTATCAGCAATACTCTACACCAGTGGTTCTGGGGTGTGATACATAGCCGGATTTTTTTAGAAGGTAAATAATGGAAAATGGATTAAGCACGGGCACGTAATACAGGTAGGAACAACAGGTTCCACACTGCCCACCAGGGATTATTTGTCTGTCTGTCGTGCATATTTGTCTGTCGTGCACGAATGCGCTGTCCAAGTTCCTACCTGCCCACTCCGAAGGAACGTGTTTTACAACTACATTGTTTCACCAAACCTCTGTGTTTATTAACATTATACATGTTTTTTTTTACGATTGAGGCCCAAAGCGGTGCAAGGCTGCCATAAAGGTTAAGTAAGAACCACTGCTCTGCACAAACTCATTGCGTTGCTTGGTTTTGTAAAGCGGAGCATCGGGCGGTGTGGATTTTTCAGTTTGTTTGTGAATTGAGGACATTACCACCGAGTTGCCCAAGCCATCCGGAATGTGGCAGCGTTGCGTAAAGGCAACTTTCCAAAGGGCACGTCGGGAAAGTTCCCGTTTTAAGAAGTTCGCACAAATGCAACAAAATCGTAATTCGCAATGCTGATGTGTTCGTGTGAAGCGTTTCTCGGCAGGACCACTTTAAACGGATCAACTCAATATGGTGAATGTATTTTCACACGTTTGTACTGGAGTCGTATTAAGAGTATTGTTTATGTTTTCTTTGTGTTGTATCATTATTGTGGAATAGATGATTTTGTTTTACTTCGACTCGGCTGTATACTCTTGTACTCAATATGGGAGAGCCCTGTTCCGCTTTGATGGCTTCTACATTTACTGAAAACCTTTGTAGAAAATAAAAAACCTGCGTATTTGTATATGGATTAGAAACTAAAATAACGTAACTTGTCATGCTGTGTAACGTATTGTCGTGTAGGCCATCGGTCGGTTCTCAAAATCGGACCCCCCCCCCCACTCGCCCCCCCCCTCTCGCTGTTCCCCCCATCGCCCCCCCCCATCCCCCCTCGCCCCCCCCTCCATCCCCCTTCGCCCACCGCTCGATCGCCCACCACCCCTCCCCTCATCCTACACAGCTGACGTTTAAAGCAATAGTAGTAGGTTTTTACCATTTTAAACTGGATAAAAACCTACTACTATATTTTGCCACTGGTAAAAGAGATCTCATAGAGTTTAAAGCAATGTGTAGGCTTAGGTGTGGATTACCTTGGTTTAACTATATTGTTTGAATTCATGTTATTTGTGTGTGCATGTTATTTATGCGTTGCTATGCCATAACATTGCCGAAATGTTCCTTAGGTTTTAACAGCATTAATTTTTAAAAATACTTTTTCAAGATGGTTCTGCATTGGGGATGTCTGACCCACAATGCCTTTTAATAGTTGGAATTTTATATGTTCATGTCGTGACGAATGTACATGTTGTGACGGCGCTACAATGCAAATGAGGGGTTCTGATATCGAATCGTTGTCCACAAGCGACGACAATTTGTCATATCACAAGGGAATCATACTGTCGCATGCCTCGTGATAGTCACGCGAGGGTTACTGGTTAGCATCATGGCTTTTTGCCTTAGGAATGTGGAATTTCCACCATTGGCTTGGCTACCAATGATTTGAGTGCAGCCAATCAATGGCAATGAGTGTGGAGATAGTAGTACTATTGGTTGTGACTACTAATTGCCTTTAACGCTATAGATGTAACATCACGGTGTAGTGCGTTGCTTTATTAGAGCCGCAATTAAAGTGCCTCCTTAAATTGTGTTGTTGCTCGTAACACAAGTACATTATCCACAGTGCACGTGTTTCAGAACACCCGGTCGGCAATGTACCCTGCTATAAAACGTGATTTGAGATGTTACTGTGCGTGTATATTACGCACGTTATGCCTATGTGTATCAAACTGTATTACTGCGAACTAAATGGGATTGCATTTGACGCAAAGTGAGCGCTGTCAACCGGCTGTTTGTGGGCAAAATCCCAGTGTTGTGTTACTGAATCGGCCGATGCTTTCGCATAAATAAATAAATGCATATGTAAATGCCTTGTGTATTCAACATTGTGTATTTAAAAGTAACTTATTTTCAACCCATTGTTGCCAAGGCCGAAAACACCAAGCAGCCAGCAACAATCCGCCCTCTCCGCTCGTAGCAGCGCTATGTGAATCTACTGCCGGATGAATGCCTCCCCGCGTCGTGTCGGTAACGGAGGGCGTTATTTCGCCGTACTTTACCAATGCTCCTGCGGGAACAGTTCAAATATCATTCGCCACTGATGTTAGCCGTGGTCCCCGAAATCAAACTCTGTTCACCGGGTTCATAGGAAGTTTTGTTAAACACTGAAAAACTACCCCCCTCCCCGCTACCATAATACATATCAGCAATGGGGTTAAGAATTCAATGTGGGTGATGGCATTTGTGGTGGAATTTCGAGGAGGGGAAAAAAATAACAAGGAACTTGCAACATCACAGCTGTGCGGGTGTGTGTCCGGGCGCCTTGTGTGTGTTGATTTTCGTTTCTGTTGTTCAACTTCGTCATCTCGGTCAGTCCAAGCCCGTACGTCTGTGCCGTTGACCTGCCAGCAGCGAGCCTTCGCCAACGTCTCGGTCAGTCCAAGCCCGTACGTCTGTGCCGTTGACCTGCCAGCAGCGAGCCTTCGCCAACGTCTCGGTCAGTCCAAGCCCGTACGTCTGTGCCGTTGACCTGCCAGCAGCGAGCCTTCGCCAACGTCTCGGTCAGTCCAAGCCCGTACGTCTGTGCCGTTGACCTGCCAGCAGCGAGCCTTTGCCAACGTCTCGGTCAGTCCAAGCCCGTACGTCTGTGCCGTTGACCTGCCAGCAGCGAGCCTTCGCCAACGTCTCGGTCAGTCCAAGCCCGTACGTCTGTGCCGTTGACCTGCCAGCAGCGAGCCTTCGCCAACGTCTCGGTCAGTCCAAGCCCGTACGTCTGTGCCGTTGACCTGCCAGCAGCGAGCCTTCGCCAACGTCTCGGTCAGTCCAAGCCCGTACGTCTGTGCCGTTGACCTGCCAGCAGCGAGCCTTCGCCAACGTCTCGGTCAGTCCAAGCCCGTACGTCTGTGCCGTTGACCTGCCAGCAGCGAGCCTTCGCCAACGTCTCGGTCAGTCCAAGCCCGTACGTCTGTGCCGTTGACCTGCCAGCAGCGAGCCTTCGCCAACTTCACGCGGCCTCAGAAGTGCACCGAGCCTGGCACGAGAGCGGTTGTGACATCGCCGCCCTCACTCGGTAGGGAATGGCGACTGTTGTAGAACTCGTCGCGATATGTATTACGTGGCGCAGTGGTTATCACGTTGCATTGTGACCCTTGCGATCTGAATTGCTGGTCACGGATAACGTCCGCCGACACGTGCTGGTCTAAACCTGCCCTGTTGGGCATCTTTCTGGCTTGAGTCACCCCTCAACGAGATCGTGGTGCAGCGGCGTGGGTGCATCAGCGCTGGGGGGAGGGGGGGGCAAAGGTGGCTCAGAATGTGGTACTGACCCCACCAACCATTCACAAACTATTTCTGTCCTCGTCGGAACTTCCCAACAACACCTGTCCCCCAGGGGTATCTAAGGCTTAGTGGGGAATTTCTGTGTACGCACGTCTCATTGTAGCGGCGTCAACATGCAGCACGCTATGCCACGATCCTCGTAACCAGGGTTTGACAATGCCAAGCTGTGATGCAATAATTCACCTTTTGTCAGCCACGCCGAAAGTGACTACCTGGTGTGGTGTGCTTGTGGTTATCAACTGCGTGTCTGTGTAATAGGGGTGCAACAATGTATTGACTAATATCGCTGCTTAAGGCTTCTGACATGTGAATTGAATCCGGTGGTAATAAAAACTAATTTAAGGTTACATTTTAGGCTAACGGAACAATAAAAAAATTATGCAATCAAGACAAAACTTTTAAAGAATATATTCAATAGCGTCTCACGACTAATGGAAAAAATTGAGACAGATGCCATCCAAACATCCACCCTACGTCCTTCCTTGTGGAAGAGATACGTAGATGACACGTTTGTCATCTGGCCACATGGCCTGCCAGCACTGAACCAATTTCCCAACCACATGAATTCCATACACCCGTCTATCAAATTCACCATGGAAGTGGAAAAGGATGGCAAGCTTCCATTCCTGGATGTTTTGATCGAGAAGAGACCTGATGGCTCATTGGGACATTCGGTCTACAGGAAAGCCACCCACACGGATGCCTATCTAGAGCCTCAGTCCCACCACCATCCAGCCCAGAAGAATTCCCTCATCAAAACACTACACCATAGGGCCCGTTGCATCTCCGACCAGCAGCACCTAGCCAGTGAGTTGGAGCACGTACACCAAGCCCTCAGGATGAACGGATACTCGGACCGTACAATCCGCAAAGCTGTCTCCCCAGCTATGCGGAGACAACCTTCTGAGGATCCGACCAAAACCATCATTTTACCGTACATAGCAGGCGTTACCAAAAGATTTCCAAAATCTTAAACAAACACAAGATCCAGGTTCGTTTCAATACAGAACACAAAATCCGTGATTTAATCCCATCTGTAAAATATGTGATTCCTGACATGCAATACCCTGGTGTCTACAAACTGAGCTGTGGTTGCGGCAGCAGTTTCATTGGGGAAACGAAACAACATGTCTCGGACTGCATTCGCGAACACAAGGCGGATCTGAAACACGGTAGGACCAATACTTCTGCCTTTGCCGATCATTGTTTTAACGCTGTGGGCTCACACGAAATAGATTTTTCCAAGACGGAGGTACTCTGCAAACCTACTGACTACCTTCAGAGATTTGTTCATGAAGCCATCCAGATATATAAACACAGACACAACTTCAACCGAGAGGATGGGTATAAACTGAGCAATCATTGGAAGGACGTTATTAAGCAAAGTCTTAACTGACTGTGATGTTTCCATCCAACCTGCATATGTCAGCTGTTATTTCGACTCTCTGTCTCTCTCTATGCCTCTCTCTTAGATCTCTCATGCTCACATGTCCGTTGCATTGCACTCTCTTGGCTTTGGATTGCACTCTCAAGCTCACATATCTTTTGAATTGCACTCTCATACTCACAGGCCCTTCGTATTACACCCGTTGGGTTGCATTCCCTCGTCGAGGAGGCCCACCTCTTCTTCTTTTCTACAGTTACATGCTTATTTCTCACTTTAACATCATGCTAATCCCTCACATTAACATCATGCTAATCCCTCACATTAACATAGCCACTTCCGTGCCCTCTAATCCCTCACATTAACATCATGCTAATCCCTCACATTAACATAGCCACTTCCTTGCCCTCTAATTTCTCACTTTAACATCATGCTAATCCCTCACATTAACATCATGCTAATCCCTCACATTAACATAGCCACTTCCGTGCCCTCTAATCCCTCACATTAACATCATGCTAATCCCTCACATTAACATAGCCACTTCCTTGCCCTCTAATTTCTCACTTTAACATCATGCTAATCCCTCACATTAACATAGCCACTTCCTTGCCCTCTAATTTATCACTTTAACATCATGCTAATCCCTCACATTAACATAGCCACTTCCTTGCCCTCTAATTTATCACTTTAACATCATGCTAATCCCTCACATTAACATAGCCACTTCCGTGCCCTCTAATTTCTCACTTTAACATCATGCTAATTTCTCGCATTAACATCACTAGCCCCGGCCACTTCTTTATACCCCTTGAGCTACACCCATTTCAAACCTTTTAAAACAGTCTGCCTCAGCAGCAGACTATGCTTTCCCACCTGATGACGGACGCTTGTGTTGCGCCCGAAACGTCGTGATTTATTTTATTTTATACCTACATGACTTTCCCGAAAGAACCAAAGAGTATGTCTCACGACTATAGGCTCGGACCGGTCTCTGATGGGGTCTCCAGACAATAGACTTTCAGACTGGTCTCCGATGAGGTCTCGAGACAATAGACTGTTAGACCGGTCCCTGCTTGGGTCTCGAGACAATAGACTGAAAGACCGATCTCTGATTGGGTCTCTAGACAATAGACTGTCAGACTGGTTTCTGATTGGGTCTTTAGACAATAGACTGAAGGACCGATCTCTGATTGGGTCTCTAGACAATAGACTGTCAGACCGGTCTCTGATGTGGTCTCTAGACAATAGACTGTCAGACCGGTCTCTGATGTGGTCTCTAGACAATAGACTGTCAGATCTGTCTCTGATGGAGTCTCTAGACAATAGACTGTCAGATCTGTCTCTGATGGAGTCTCTAGACAATAGACTGCCAGACCGGCCTCTGATGGGGTCTCTAGACAATAGACTGTCAGACCGGCCTCTGATGGGGTCTCTAGACAATAGACTGTCAAACCGGTCTCCGATGGGGTCTCTAGACAATAGACTGTCAGACCGGTCTCTGATGAGTCTCTAGACAATAGACTGTCAGACCGGTCTCTGATGAGTCTCTAGACAATAGACTGTCAGACCGGTCTCTGATGGGGTCTCTAGACAATAGACTGTCAGACTGGTCTCTGATGAGTCTCTAGACAATAGACTGTCAGACCGGTCTCTGATGAGTCTCTAGACAATAGACTGTCAGACTGGTCTCTGATGGGGTCTCTAGACAATAGACTGTCAGACCGGTCTCTGATGAGGACTCTAGACAATAGACTGTCAGACCGGTCTCTGATGAGTCTCTAGACAATAGACTGTCAGACCGGTCTCTGATGGGGTCTCTAGACAATAGACTGTCAGACCGGTCTCTGATGAGTCTCTAGACAATAGACTGTCAGACCGGTCTCTGATGGGGTCTCTAGACAATAGACTGTCAGACTGGTCTCTGATGGGGTCTCTAGACAATAGACTGTCAGACTGGTCTCTGATGGGGTCTCTAGACAATAGACTGTCAGACCGGTCTCTGATGGGGTCTCTAGACAATAGACTGTCAGACCGGTCTCTGATGGGGTCTCTAGACAATAGACTGTCAGACCGGTCTCTGACGGGGTCTCTAGACAATAGACTGTCAGACCGGTCTCTGATGGGGTCTCTAGACAATAGACTGTCAGACCGGTCTCTGATGGGGTCTCTAGAC